GCGCTTGTTTTACGTCATTAGCTTGACGAAACCTGTACATGAATCAACCAGGATCCAGAAACAAATGGCGATCATGCCACGCCTTCGTATTCTCTAGCAGTGGAAGCATAGGAAATGTGGCAAGAAGGCAGGCCCAGTGGATCCGGGTGGCTATGTTCTGTATGAAGTGGTCTCGGGCACGAACAATCACCAAGTACCGACATAGAGCTTTTCCCACTCGAGCTCTGTCATCAACCTCAGGGACAACGAGCACATCCGTGGAACAAGTCGAGCTAAATCTGGCGCACTTGGTAGCACAGTGTAATGGTTCCGAAGGTAAATGCTCCATCTCGGTAGCGGTAGGAGTGACTTGAGAATCAAGCCCATGGATCTCCTCCTCTGAAATAACATCAACGTCTCGTTGGAGCTCATCATCTTCTTCGGCCTCACACATTCGCTTCATCGTACGGGCTTGAGTATCAAGCACGAGGTGTGGGTTGTCGACTTGTGCCTCAATCGAATCGAGACGTACAGTGAGGCTCTCTATTTGTGTGCTCAGCCGAGCACACCCGAGCTCAATCTCCTTTTCTTGGTTTGCTCGGGCCATCATCCAATCGAGGATGAGGTCGGGCTTGGCATTGTACTCTGAGGAGTCGTCCTGGAGCTCATTTAGATGCTCGGGCTTGGGATGTGGGTCCACAACCTCGAGCTTGTGGGCCTGGGACTCGATCGAGTCGATGCACCTTGCTAGACTTTCCACTTGCTCGCTCAATCGGGCACATCTGAGCTCCATCTCCTCCTCTTGTTTCGCTCGGGCCATCAATCGATCTAAGATGAGATCGAGTTTGGCATTGTAGGCGGCCTCTTCTTCTCGAGCTGATTTGGACTCTATGAAATCAAGAATCTGGTCGAGCTTCTCGTTAAACTCGTGGGACTCATAAGGTTGCTCGACCGGAAAATCGTTCCAGCACCGCTCGGACGAATACGGGTAAGGTTGGGTGTGGTACCCGGGAAAATAGACCGGCTCGTCGTTCCAAGATGGGTAATGCAGGGAGGAGTACCCGTGAATGAAATTCATTGTACCTGCACACCAGAACCAAACAACCACGCG